TCATCTGTTTTGTATGGAGAGTGATGCCATGCATTTAGTTGGATCCAAGGCATTGAGCACAGCAGACCTCTGCCCTGGATGTTAGTTTTGAGTGGTCATTGAACAGTGTGTTGTCATGAGGCAAAAGGCAGAAAAATAGGTTGACATGTGGACAAACAGACTTGATTAGTTCCATCTGAAATGCCCTGGAAACCAGAAGAGTAAGTGGAGGCCAATAAAACAGCTCTTCATTCTGGGGAAATTCTGTTACACAACAACCACTGTTCAAAGTGAAATACCACAGGGAGCTAGCTTGAGCCCTGCTTATCTAGGGGTTGTTGTAGATTGTACCTTATCACAAATCACCTAATGTACAGAATCACAGACTGTTGAGGTGGGAAGGGACCTCTAGAGATCATCTGGTCCAACTCACCTGCTCAGGCAGGGCCCACTATAGCCAATTGTCCAAGGCTGTGTCCAGTCAGACTCTGAATATCTCTGTGTCTTAGGAAAAGCAACTTTGAACTGCAATGACTTCAGAGATGCCAGGTCCCACTGGGTTTGCAGCTCAGCAGGTAACAGGTGAACAAGGTACCATTGATCAGCCAATTACCAGCAACTCTCAGCTCCTGCTAAGATTCAATCTATAGGATAAAGTTTTAGTTTGGGAAAGAAAAGTTAAATCCAGCATTTATTACCAGTCACTGCTCTTGATCACGAACTCCTCCAAAATTTGGAATTTAAACTCAGAATGTGCCTATTTCACTAAATTTTTCTCTCAGCAGCCTCTATCCGACTCATCTTTCTCTGACTAGCTCAGATGAAAGATGTTATCTTTCTTATATTATCCATTCTTTTCCTAATTTGGTTGGCACATGACAATGGTTATGTACCTGAAGATCTTGATTCTGCTAGTGGCACCATGGGGAGTGTCAAGATCAGTGGGAGAGAATTTTAAAGAATCATGGAATGGCTTGGATTGGAAGGGACCTTAACGATCATGTAGTTCCAACCCCTCTGCTATGGGTAGGAACACCTTCTGTTTGACCAGATTCAGGGTCCAATTCCACCGACTCTGAACACTTCCAGGGATGAGGCATTCTGTTCTAGGCAACCTGTTCCAATGCTTTACCACCTTCACAGTAAAGAATTTCTTCCATATATTTAACCTAAATTTTCCCTCTTTCAGTTACTGTTTGTTAATTTTTCGTTAACTTTTTTCAACTCTCAAGGAGTGCTAAAAAACTGTCACTAATAAAACTGTGTGGACTCAAATTGAAGTAATCAGGTTAAAGTGAAAATTTGGATTTATTCTCTTGTTTTTCTCTGGCATGGTTAGTTCTTTGTAAATCTCATTTTTTTGTTTTGAAACTACAGCTGGTGTAACATGTCTGTAAAGGTAAAGTTTGTATTTATTTGTCAGCTGTGAGCATATAAAATAAAAACTAAGTCAGAATAAACTTATGCTAGAGGAAGCATTGAATGGAGTGATTGTGGAGCTTCGTAGTTTTTATAATAAATATTTTGCTTTAGCACCCTCTCTCGGACACAAACCAATACTGCTGGCGTTTATTTTTAAAGGCTTAGTTAAAGCTGGAAGGCTGCAATGTGTCCAGGAAAAGTCCCTGGCTGCAGTCACAGATACAGTTTAGTTATGTTGCTTGATGGAATTTTCTTATCACTCTTATGCTTATCATCTTTACACAAATAGTCTGTGTTGCTCACTTAAGCCAGCCATGAGCTGGGAAAAGATTGATGGCTCCAAAGCAAATACCAAAGGCGAGTTGTTACAAAAGACCATAGTTAGATGTGCTGTTCTCTTCTTACATCAGTAGTATTTAGTGTTAGGATAGCATATGGAGGCCCCAGTTTGGGGACATGGCCTTGCTGTGTTGAGACCTACACCAAAGAGTTCACAGTGGGATGCGTAATGCTGTAGCGCAGATGGAGAAGGGTGGGACAAAGTTGTTCTCTGTACTCCTGCCCCAGGAAAGAGAAGTGTGTTAATGCCAAAAAGAAGGTCAGGAGTGTGAAGGACACTGAGTACATTCTGAATAGCAGAAAGCTCCACAGTTTGCACCTTCTGCATTAACTATCACTACCTGGGATAGCTTCTGCGATACAGATGATAGGCAGTCAAGCTCCTATACGTTGTTTTGGCTCCAGTAGTTGGCATGGTTGCCAGCTACCTTCAAAGATACTGTATGTGCCAAGAGAAGGATTAAAAAACTAGGACATCAGAACAAAAACTGCCCGGATTACTTTAACTTGCTCTCCTTGTGCATTTTCATTTTAATAAGCCTTATTTGCAATAATAGCCTTCGGCAAGACTCCTCAGTGCACGGTGCGGATGATGATAAACAAAGAGGAGGCCATGAATGATGCAAGGGCCCACAAGAGGACAAAAAATAATCTTGTTAAAGTGGCTGAAATTCCTTTTCTGGACTAGAATACGCATCTTATATAAGATAATTTCTATGACATTTACATTTTTTTTCCACAGCTGGTCAATGATTTTTTTCTTCCTTCTGCTGCCTGCCTCTAGTCAACTGAGTGTAAATTTGTTGAAGTGCTGAAGACTTACACCAGTATCTGACATCACAGAAAACCGTGCGACAAAGACTAAACACAAGGGAGAAATGAGAATTTTCCCCATATGCCAGCTCAAAAAGAGGCCAGAAGGGGCAGTCGAAAAACAGTTGATATTTCAAACATGTATTTCAGCCTCAGTCCTCTCCCTGGTGAAGGAGAGATAATAACATCCCTCCCCTTGTCTTGCTATGCAAACACAAACATTAGTTAACTGGCTGCTGTGAAACAACTGGTTAGTCTAGATGCATCAGCTCTTGCACCCTGAAAATAAGGCTTGTGCCCTCAGCATCTGCACCCTTCTTCCCTGAGCTAAAGAGTCTTTAGCTCCCTTATTCACAGCACAGCAGGACCTTGCTGATTTGAGGTTATATGTCAAATCCCGCTGCTTTGAGCTAACCTGTGGCTGGGCAGAGGCCCTCTGAGTGCCTGCTCACCAGTCTTGTGCTATAGTCCTTTTGCTGCTTGATGACCTGAGCATCCTCTTCTCGCCACCCCCAAAACATATCTCAATGTGTCTGTGGTTGTACACACCGAGAGAAGATGTGAGAAGTTTGATCACTGTTGAGCATCATAGCAAAAAGTGTTAAATGTAGAATATTGATAGTGTGCAGTGAGCATGTGTGAGGCCATAATGTCATGAGTGAGTTTTTCCATCCTCCTCAGGGAATGGATGAGCTACATCCAATTCTGTAACTCTACATTATACATACACACTTAAGGATCTGCTTAGATTCTTAGTGATCTAAGGATCACTAGGACAAGCTTAGATTTGTATAAATAACCTTGTATTTGAAATTCAGTGATTAGACAACTTCAGGTGTCCAACTGCAATCCTGTTTTCTTTTGTGTGATTTCACTGGGTTTTGAAAAATAACAACACCCACATCGCAGCTTGCTTATCCCAAGCGCATCATCGTTGGTATTGTACAACTTTTGGCACGTTGGCAAATGAAATGACATCTAGTAGGATGGATGTGCATTTGCTCATACAATTTAACTCTGGCCTGAAGAAAAATCTGAAATAAAATCCTTACATTATGTTTGGGTTTTTTCATTCAGATGGAGATCTGTGTATGTTTCAATTGATACAGTGTGTTCCAAGTGGCTGAAAAGAAAAGCTTTATTTCATATATTGGGAAAAACAGAATAATAAAGATTGGGTTCACCAAATGGTTGGAGGAGGAAAAATAAGAGAAAATGTTTCAAATTAAATGATACTTGCAAAAGGGTTGTTTAATACTCTAGGCAGAGTATTAAACAGGGCTCGTGATTTTGAGAAAGATGGATAGGAACGGAAAGAGAGAACTCTGATTTGGTGAAGTGACAGCAAATTTAAGGATGTGGATGGGGTATGCATGCGCAGGTCATTTTGGTTTACAGGTATCTTCAAAGGAGAAGGCATGTGGCATGCTCAGAGAGCAGGAAAAGCAAGAATTTTTAGCTTCAGTTAAAAAGGGAGATTTTTTAATACTGCACAAAATACACACAGAGGGGAACTGGACTTTCTCTGATGTCTCACTGCAATAGTGGCATCTCACAGGAACTTAAGCCTCTGTACTCTGTGATTTACACACGTTCTCAGTAGTTTTAGAAACATTAACCAGCATCTTTTACACCACAAAGGAAAGTTATAACTTTATTCCAGCGCTAAAGGCAAAGTCCATATCACAATCAAGATTATCTCACAGTTCCTGGAGACGTTATTTCCTCAGATTTCCCTTAAGTGGGGACGGCCAGCTTTGAAGTGGCACCAGACGTCAACAGAGGGCAAAAGCCAAAGTCACGTGGAATTCGAAACACGCCAAGGTGGCACAGGTGTGGAACCGCTGCCTTGGCTGAGGCCTGGATATTCCTGCTGTCCCTTTATGGATCGCACTGAGAGGAAGCAAGGGCAGGAACGGCAGAAGGGAAGAAGGGGGATTAAGAGATCCGGTTGCCCCATACGTAAATCTAAATCACAGAACCACAAAATCACGGAATCACAGAACGGCTTGGGGTTGGGAGGGACCTTAAAGGCCACCCAGTTGCAACCTCCCTGCCATGGATAGGGACACCTGCCGCTAGACCAGGTCGCTCAGAGACCCATCCACCCTGGCCTGGAATCACCGATCTAAGCCCCGGCAGAGGCACTCGTCTGCCCCGGGGGCTCTGCCCCGCTCAGGGCCTCAGCCGCGGCCGCCCCCCCGTGTTGCCGCACCAGCCGCTCCCCCCGACCCACACAGACCTCACCGCCCCCCGCCATCCCCACCGCCCCTCACCGCGCCGCACGGCACGCCGGGACTTGTAGTCCCCGCTGGCGGGCGTCGCTCTCCAACTCGGCCCGGCTGTGTCGGCAGGAGAACTACAACTCCCGGCAGGACCCGTGGGCCGCCATACGCCATCGCTCGGCGCTCGCAGCCCTGCCCCGCCCCGCCGGGTCGGGAGGAGCAGCAGGAGGAGGAGGAGCAGGAGAAGCAGGAGCGGGGCTGCCGCGGCCGCCGGCCCGGCCCGGCTCCTCTCGGCTGCCCCCGGCCGCGCCATGTGGCAGAGCATCGGGCTGACCCTGCTGGTGATCGTGGCCACGCTCGCCTGCGTGCTGCTCTTCATGCTGTGCGGTGAGCGGGGGGCTCGGGGCGGGGGGGGCTCCCGGCGAGGCTGATGCCCAGCGCCCGCCCTCGCACCCCCCGCGCCGGGTCCGCGGTCTGTGCCGCTTCCCCTTGGCCCGGATTGACTGGGGGGAATGGAAGGGCGACTGTGCCCCGGGGCGTGGGGAGCGTGTGTGCTGCGCAGCGCCCTCTTCTCTTTGTCCCCGAGCCGTTCCGAGTCTTTAACACGCTCCCAGAGCTTTAATTCGGGTTATTTCGGTGTTTCCTCTGAAACTGACGGCTTCACTTGCCCTCGGACCCCTGTGCGGTCACCCTGTGCGGCTTGTACGTGAGTGGGTCTGAAATGCCGGTGAGTGCAAGAAGTAAACTTCCAGCTGGCATCCCTCTGCTTCTGACTTCTGTTTGCTCGCAAGGACTGAGAGCAGCGCTTAGGAGGTTTTTTTCTTTTGTGGATTGAGGAGGCTCAGGGATGTAGGATCGCTCCCTACAACTACCTGAAAGGAGGTTGTGGTGAAGTGGGAGCCCATCTCTTCTACTGTGCCTGCAGTGAGAGGACCAGAGAAAATGGCCTTAAGCTGAGAGGGGAGAATCAGATGAGATACTAGGAAAAATTTTATTCAGTGATAGAGTGGTCAGTCATCGAAGTCGGATGCCCAGGGAGATGCTCGAGTCACCTTCCGTGGAGGTGTTTAAAAGGCATCTGGATCGGGTGCTGGGTGATGGTTTAGTGATTTGTGGGTTACAGTGGCAGTGCTGGGTGACCAGTTGGACTGGATAATCTTAAGAATCTCTTCTGACCTTGATGATCCCATGATTCTATGATCCAGTTTTTTGTTTTGTTTTGGTTTTGTTTGTTTGTTTGTTTTTGTTGGTTTGTGTTTGTTTTTTTTTAATGTGCAGAGAGAAGGGTTATTTCAATGGGAGGTACAACATGCAGGTCTGTTGGAGTTCTTGGAAGAAATCAGCAGTTCGGTGTGTGTGTGGTGCGACCAATATGCTGAGCTTGGAGCTCTCAAAAAGTCCCAAACCAACAAACTCAAACTAGGCCATAGTCTGTGGTGAAAGGCTTGTGAGATTTACGAACACAGGGGGTTTATAAGTGGCTTCTAAAAAACCAAGGGAGCAAAAGTGAAGAGTCAGCTGACATGTAATACTTTAAAAAAAAAAAAGGTTAATTGTGGTCAAGTTGACAAAGCATTGTGAAAAGATTTTGCAGTATCAAGAGACTGGATAGTGAAGTCCAATACTAACATATATGAAGTAATGCATATAGAAAGTGTGAAATGTAGATGTGCTTAATTTATGTAGAGAAATATAATGGATTCGAACTGAGCTGTTGGTATCCCAAAGAAAGGATCAGCTCAAGTAACTGCAAGCATTTCTCCAAAATATGTGTTTAATGCTTTGTAGCAAGGATACAGGAAAATCAAACATTAGAAGCTTGAAATAAAATAGAAAATGTTATTATACTGCTATAGGAATCCTCCATGAGTGTGTGTCTCAAATGGTGTATTTTCTTTTTAAAGTTAAATAAAATCCTACTTTGTTTTTGAAAGACAGAGTTTCCTAAACAGTTCTATGATTCTGTGTTGAGAACTGTGAAGTGTTTTCTGCATGAAGAAACTCTTAACAGGTTAGATCTGTCTAGCCTGGAAAGTAGGTGACTGGAGGAAGGGTGATGGTTATAACACTGAGTGTCATGTCAAAGGTTAAGTGGGAATGATTGTGAAATTTCACCATTGCAGAGCAGTTGAAGTCCATGAAGTTACATGATCAAGCAACGGGCATAAAACAAAAAGATTTCTTTTACAGTGGGGAAATAAATTGCAGGTTCATTAACGAAGAATATTTTGGATGCTGAAACTTCTCTCATTCAAAGTTCACAGGAAAAAGGTCAGCAAATTTAAGCAATGGTACTAAATCTTGGGAGAGGAAATTTGTCAGATTACACATAAGTAGAACTTCAAGGCTGCACTTGACTTGGTCTTATGCTCTTTTCCTGCATGGCCTGTAGTGTCCATTGTTACAGACTAAACAGTGACCTAAGTGGATATTTATTCAAGTTTCTCTACCCCCGTTAGGTGTTGACTGGCCACTTTTCATCTTTTAGAAGATGAAGGTTGATACTTGCTAGGGTTTTCGTGTTTTCAAAGTGTGCACAGGAGATCTTTGCTTACTGTCTTGTTGAAAGATTAGTAGGATTTTGCAACGTGCTATTCAAAGTCAGAAGCCAGGATAATTTTCTTCAGGCCTTTCTGCTTTTGTCTGTATGTGACAAATGGAATTGAAATTCTAGGCATCTAACTTTGCCTACTAACATAAATATTTGCCTAGTGCTTTCTTGCTTAAAGAGAACAAAAGTAATTAATAAATGGCTTTATTTTTAAGTGGCTTGTGTATACTTAGCAGTTTGGAATTACATATTGTCCATTCATCTTAAATTCACTGAATACTTTGCGTTGAATCCTTCATTGTATTTTGCTTTCAACAGTGTCAGAGTTTATAAAATGATTGCTTCAAGTCACCTAGTTTTCAAAAGTATGGAACACAGGAAGCTGACATGTTCATTGTTTTTTTATTTTGGGGAGGGATTTGAACTATTACCTTGTTAAAAGTGACTCAATAGGATTTGATAATTATTTGCGTTATTTGTAATTCTTTTTCCATTGTACAGCTTATATTAATTAATTAATATGGATACACTTCTAGCTCTCTTGCCATGGAAAATATTCAAGGAAAACATTATTAAGACCACTACTAGAAAAAACTGAATATAATCTACTTTCAATTCAGTTGTTTATCTCTGCTAGTGATAGGCAGTTTCCCAGTCCCTGGGAAGGCCAACAGACTGTAAAGAATAGAGACCTGTAGGTAAGAAGGTGGAGAAAGAACTACCTAAATGCTGTGTCTGACAGGATATGAGTAAATGCCAGCCAGCCAGACATACAAGTTAATGGACAAATCTGACATAGGAATGACTGGATATAATCCTGAGTAAGCTTGATCTGATTATAAAAATATTTTGCAGCCATCTGATGAGAAGTGTTGAAACAACCTTATGAAAAGGACTTAGAGGGTCAAGAGCCTAAAGAGATGAAACTTGGATTTTGAGTGGCTTATAAAAGGACTTGTGGTGTGATTGCTTGCAGAGAACAATAAATTTAAATATCCAGGAGACATCCTAGTATCATGTGGATTTCAGATGCCCATAATAAGTGATATGAAGTGATAAATGCTATCAAAACTTAAATAATGGGGGAAAAAATTCACTTTTTCTAAAATGAAAAGACAAAACTCAGAGCACCAATTATCAGAAGTTGTTTTGACTAGTTCTTCAGCCATGTGAAAAGCAAATGTTTATGCCTGAATTAGGCACTTATGGCTGTAAAAGTACTTTTAATAAATGACCTTATTTCTTTTAAATATTTCTGGATGCTTACAACTGCTACTTTCAGTGTTAATCTGAATTAGTTAGGAAGCAGGGAGGGCTTGCGGCTAGCAGTGTCTCTATTTGTAAACTGATCACATCTGACATAGAAACCATTGAGGGGCTGTAAACATAGCAGATTTTCAGTTGCTCTTTTAAAAGTCCCAACTAAGATAACTTGCTTCCACTTTTTTTATTCCCAGTCTTTCTGGTTTTCTGTCTCTGGTGATCTTATTGTTGCCTTTATGTATTCCATGTTCCTCTGCTGATGGGAGGAACTCATGCATAGTCAAGGATATAGGATAAGATAAAATACCAGTCAAGGTGAACTCTGCTATTGCTTACCTCTGTGTATTTGTTTTATAATCCCAGTGTAGTAGTGCATGGAGCCACGTGAAACTGCAGAAGTGCCTTCAGATGGAAGCATTCATCTCATTTGGCAAGAGGGGCTAATGAGATGCGGTTTGAGAGATACAACCTTAAAATAAAAACCTCGTAACTCAAAGTGCTGAAATGAATGTGTGGTTCTTTTCACAAGTGTGAATTTGGTTGCAGATGGGAAAAGATTTGAGCCCTAAATTCTGCCTGAATAACTTTTCTTTAATGCTTTGTTTAAACAGTTTCGTAACTATCTTAAATGACTGATTCATGTGAAGTACCTCAACAGATGAGGAAAGTCATGCTTGATTAGGCCACTAATAAAGAGAAAGTACCCTTTTGTTTGAAGTTGAGTTTTGAAACTGTTATAAATGGGAGATTGGAAGAGAGCAAGTTTCCTTTTGATCTGTCAGGAAGCAACAAGTGGTGGAGTGTTGCATTAAATGGGACTAGGTTTAAGGAGCTGTGCAGATCCAAGTGCTGTGTCAGCTGATGTCTTCTGTTATTCCGGTGTCAAAGTACAGTGTGCTTCCTTCAGTCTGATGCTCTCCGTAGCAAAACTATCCACCATTTTAAAGATGTAGATGAATTACCTTGTCCATGGTCACATAAGTCATTTGACACAGAGCTCAGAGCAGAACCCTGTTCTCCCAGGTGTAGGTTAGCATCTAAAGCTCTGTGCTTTTTTTTTTTTTTTTTTTTTTTTTTTTTTTTTTTTTTTTTTTTTTTTTTTTTCAGTTGTAGCTGCTTAGGATTTTCTCTGATGGACACTTCAGCATTTGAATATAGGCAGCATTCACTTTGGTGATACCCTGGTCCTAAATTAATTCTCATGCTCTGGAGTAATAGGATCCTATTTTCAGATCGGTAGGGATACAGGGGAAAAATGATCTCACTAGATTGCACAGGAATTCCATAACAGGGTCAAAACAAGAAGCCAGATATTCAGGCTCTGTTGTGTGCTCTTACTGGATCACCATCCTTCCTTTCTTGGTTTCGTTTGTGTCTCACATAAGAAAAATCAGGTTGCTTTTCCCCAGCGCTCCATATTAGCCCTGGGATTTTTGTTTTGTTTGCTTTTCCTGATTCAAATGGAAGAGGAAAATGTGCTCCAATAAAGAAAACCCTCTGTTAGCTGTTGCTTGTACATGCCAGTGTAAGGTGAATGAAATAGATGGACCTGAGACTCATACCACTTTGAGGG